GGCTAACTCGCAGTTTAAACCCTAAAACAACCTCTGGGCTGATCTAAGTCAGGGCATGGCTAACTCACAAATTGATTTGGAATTGAGCGTGTCGAAATGTGACGCCAAATCTGGAAATCCTTACCCTGAGATTGCTCATCAAAATCAGATGAATTGTGGCAACGAGAAATAGACCTAGGCCTTCACATACTTGAGATATAGTATGGTGACAAATAAAACAGTTGAATTATCAGAAAAATCAAACTCATTTTTAATTTATTCCTCAGCCCAACCTCGTCTTACCTGCTTGCGATGCTAGGGTGTGTCCAGCTGCCAATACCCTTCAACAAGGCAGTGTTCTTCGGGTGTTAGGAACTGCATAAAAATGAAGGGTATCACAACCTTAGGGGGACAGGAAACAGAAGTTGAATCAGCAAGCTGTGATGATCGTAGATCATGTTCTAGATCTTTACAAGACATTTGTAGAGACGTGGTAAGATGAAGGATTTGTTGGTTGACCCAAAATATCACTCATGTCATGTAAGTAAGGTGATGTGGTGTCGTGACGTCATGACACTTCAAGTCATGTAGGGTAAGGTGGTCTTGAAGTCATCACCATGTTGTCAAGTAATGTGAAGATCGCATCATGCCAGTGTTAGGTTATGATTACGTCACGATCACGTCATGTCACGATGTCATGTGAGGTGATGATTACGTCATGACACGTCACATCATGAATGTAACGTGATGTGATCGTGATGTCATTTAGGATTAGGTGGTCGTGAAGTCATCATCTCGATGTCATTTAAGGTGATGATTATACGTCATAATCACCTTTATTAATTTATGATTATGCGGGTAAGGTTATGATAAAGTTATGATGACATCACGTCACTATCATGACATGTGAGGTTATAATTACGTCATGAACACGTCATGATCATGTCAAGTCACAACATGTTAGATAATGATTACGTCATGATCATGTCATATAAGGTGATGTGATGTGGACGTGACGTGGGGCGAGGGCTATCGATTAATCTAATACTTTAAATTAATTTGCTTACAGAAAAACTGCAAACGTCAATGCTGTTCAACAAGCAACTGCAACGACCCCAGGGATGGATATGAGAGTAAGTAAAAGGGAAGAGAAAAGGGCCGTGATGAATATCATGAATCATCAGATAATGATGCTGCATTTCTCTGCATCCCTCTCTGTGTATTTCCCGGCGATATTTTTACTAAATTAATACAATTTATCTTCAAACTATGCTCACCACACATTGATCAATTTCATAGCTCCTGGTTCCAAGAAAACGAAATGCTATACGTGCACATCCTCATCCTCATACAAGGATTGTGAAGACCGAAGCGTGTTACGTACCTGTCACAGTGAACAATCAACGTGCTACAAGGCAGACTACACTTCCCCGACCAACGGATCCTACGGTCAAACGTCCGGTGCCCGTACATATGGCAAAGGCTGCGTATCGAGTTCTCAGTGTACAAAAGAGAGGCTGACCTTCTGCCAAGGTTATGGAGGGCCAACCAATGATTGTAATGTTCATTGCTGTACTGGGGATGGGTGTAACGCAGGCTCGAGCTTTGGCATCAGCGGTGTTGYGCTGTCAGCATGCGCAGTCGTACTTGCTCTGTTGCTTTAATATCGTGCGAGCAGGTTTTTCGTTTCTTATTTAGCAGACCTAGGATTAGAAAATCAACTTTTTGATTTCTGCCTCATTTCAGGATATATAAATGTTTATTATTAGTTTGCTTGCCAAATATAGGAGATTATTATGATCTACGAAAACAACCTCACCTCTTACCCCCTCAGAGAAATAAAATGTCATGTCTTGACATTTGTCGTGTCTTACCTCAAGTTACGCGCCGTCGCTATAGCGACACAATGTTTACCTCAGTGTTATTGGATAACCTCGTCTTGGTATTTCCAGCCGAGGTCTTACTTTGGTGCTTCTGGACAAACAAACTGTTTTTGCATCACAATTCTTGGAAAAGAGTCTTAAAAAGGTTCTACTAAGATGGCTAAAACAGGGTTTATCTTTYTGCTTCTACTTGCRGCTTCGTYCTTTGGTAAGKCCACAACYTYTYTTAAGCAATTACTTTCGTCGTACGCGTTTTTGGTTCGTCTTGTGCGAGAATGTTGAACAAGGAAGCCTTCGGAACTAGCATTTCCATTGCTGTTCTTCTTCCCGACGTRTAGCTGCAAGATATAACAGAATAAAAAAAAAACGATAATAAACAATTAAAAACAATAAATTTCATCATGGTATCAAGCTTTGTGCAAAACGTTGTTGGTATTCTACTAACAAGATAGCGAGGTTATTATTAGTTGACACTGTCAATGCAATAGACAGTGCCTTATTGTAATAGCGCGACTTCTCTTTGTAAGTCTGTCTTTATTTGGGTTTATCATTGTGCAACAACAAAAAAAAGATGTTTTTAAATCATGTTTCTTCATCATTTACTAAGATCTACCGTTAAACTTTTGAATGTCGTTATTTTTAAAAGAATCATGATAAGTTCATGATGCTCGAGGTTGTAGCAAACTAATTTTCTAGGGGACAATAGAATACATTTTAAAAGATATGCGGACCCAGACTTGGTGATATGTTCATGGTATTCAGCAAAATATTTCTCATAAGCATCCACTGTTAAAAGCAACAGCCACGTCATGATACTCGAGGTTGCATAGCAAACTAATTTTCTAGGGGACAATAGAATACATTTTAAAAGATATGCGGACCCAGACTTGGTGATATGTTCATGGTATTCAACAAAAGATTTCTCATTAGTATATCTATTGTGATCAGCACCGACATGGCCGCCATGTCTTTGTCGATTGACGCTCTTGGGAATGCTGCAGGTCATCAATTATACTTTGAGCGAGTTTTTTTATTAGAATCTCGCATTGACGAACTATCGTCTTCTTAACCTGGAGCTTTGCCAGGGGTGCGTTAAACTATAGAGTGATGTTACTTAACCCGTGAAAGCATAGTCAACGTAAACAGCACAACACAAAATCGGTTGTTTTCTTTTCTTATACTTTGACTGTTTATATTCACTAATTATACAACATTGTTTCACGGGCAAAGTAAAATCAATCTATCATCTGTGCTTCTACAGTTCAACTTACTCTCATTCATTATCATAATGCTATATAGCCAAAACGTCAATTTATGTTTTATATCACGCTTGTGTTTTTAGACTAAAAAACTCATGATAACAATTAATATGAAATCGCCAACCCGAAAGCCTCAAAAGTATAATATTGACAGTGCAGTTTGAAAACAGTCAAGGAGTCAAGAAGTCAAGGATATTGACATCTAGACTGGTCTAATCCATCGGTATTAACTTCCGCATTTTATGAGTTGGGCATTGATTGACATATGAATATCAGCTCAGTTTTGCAAAGCAAACAATTTTTGTTCTTTATGCAAACAAATATATATTTGCTTATCTAAAGTAAATTTGAAAATGAACAAATTGTGTGATGGAATCTTTTGTTTAGGTACACCAACATGGCGGCGATGACGTGGAAACGAACTGAACCAAATTCAAATGACAAAGACATGGCGGCCATGTTGGTGTACATAACAAGAGAAGCTAACGAGAAATCTTCTGTTAACGTACACCAACATGGCGGTGATGACGTCATAACTGAATGATTCAAATGACAAAGACATGGTGGCCATGTCGGTGTACATAACAAGAGAAGCTAACGAGAAATCTTTTGTTAACGTAAACCAACATGGCGATGATGACGTCACATCGATGATGAGGGCCACAAGTTTATTAGTGTAGTACACTATTTAGTGCCACCCTCATTAAATAAAGTTGTTATTATTATTATTATTATTATGGATACGAACTGAATGATTCAAATGACAAAGAAATGCGATGTAAAAATAATGATGATGATGATGATGACAAAAAATAGTAATAATGATAATAATAGTAATATCCTAACATCATACTCATTAGCGTATTATAAGTACAGATCGATATATTTTTTCATGCATTGACCATGAGAGCTGTTTATTGGGGTCACGTGTCTATGCAATAAAAGTGGAGAGCAAAATCATGCACGTGGTCTGGACATTGAAGCATACGGAAATCGGTGGTGTTAAAGAAAGGCAGAATATCTAGAACTCATTTGCATATATATTGTACTTAGAAACAATCGTGCTTTTCCTGCGTTCGATAAACAGATTGTATTGTGGTCTAGATTAGGTATAAACGACACCATATAAGGCATGATTGAACAAAACATGTTTGTGTCAAACTGGAATCGAATTTGAGTTATTGGTAAGGGTCACTTAATTTCGAGTTAGCTTGCACCAGGCCATCATCATTAACATTTGGATAATATTAATTTATAGTGTCTACAGCAGCAAACTCCTGTTCCTGGGCAAACTTCTATTGCTCATACAGTTCTCAGTGCGTGTCAAGTCAATGGAGATGTGATGGTGACAACGACTGTCCCAACGGAGAAGACGAACGAGCCTGTCGAACAGGTATATAACCTTATCATCCTTTCTATTATCATCGCTTAGTTATTATACTCTTATCATCATCATCATCATCAACACCACCATCCTATCATCATCATCCTACTCTTATCATGCATTATCATCAACATCGTCATGATTGCCATAATCATAATCACTTATTATTATCATTATCACTGCTATCGCCGTCACTTCCACCTATCATCGAAACCTTAATATAACAACTGTTGCTTTATTTGAATTTTTCAGCATGTCCCGACCGCAGGAGTAGATTCAGGTGTAACAACTACAGGTGCATCGCAAGGACTTTTGTATGCGATGATGATAACGACTGTGGTGACAATACTGATGAAGTCGGCTCCCTATGCGGATCACGAAGTAGGTAGTGAAGTAATAAAAACGCGCGCGCGTGCTGTGTACAATTATAAATCGCGCGAGGATTGGCAGAACACGAGAAAAGTGTTAGGAGAAGCACGAAGCGTAGCGTAGCTTTCATAAAAACATGCATGCAATTTACGATAGGTAACATTTTTTATTGGGGGGGAGGGGGGGGGGTAGAGGCTGGGTCTTCAGGGGGGAGAGACATCAGTATTAATTTGAACTTTCGTGGAGGGTCAAACCTTTTTATTTTGACGAACACTAGTTCCTCGTTGACTTAATAGAAGGTTCATGAATTTCTTACTGAATGAAATGGGGAGGGCTAATATCAGTTTAAAAAAGGTTACTGCGAATCTCCCGGACCTCCCCCCTCCTCCCCC